CCCAATGTAATAGCAAGAGCTCATCTCTACTAGAATTACCTGATATTTTCTGGGGTTGCATTTAGCTTTTTCATGGCGGTGCCACATTTGTGACTCTCAGTTCTCAGGAGGTGGACTAATAAACCTGGACCCTTCACCTCTGTCATTTCCAGCAGCCGCCAGCTCACAGCAGAGAGTCTCGGCGTTAGCCCCGTTCCTGGCCTTGCATTTCACGCGATTGAATTTCATCTTGTTTTTCTCACTCTGGTTCGTGAGGTCATCGGGTTCTTCCTCTATGAAAGCCTGATCTTTCTACCTCTGCAAACTTCAGTGGGGCCTCCTGAACACTTTCTTTGTTTTGCACTGAGATCATTAATAAAAATTGGATGGGACTAGGCTCGAGACTGACCCTTCAGGAACTGCAGCAGCAACCCGGTGGTTGTCTGGGAATATCTTTGCTTTAACCACCACTTTCCCCACCTCAGGACAGCTGTAGAAATTCTCCGTTTGCCATTTCCCCTGCGGTACCTTGCTAGTGCTTTATGAAGCACAGACTGTGGCTGTCCCAGTTCCCTCAGCAGTCGTCTTATCAGAGAAAGCTGTTGTGTTAGTCGCGTGTCACCCACTTCTGATGATTTTTTTTAAAATTTTACTTCTTTTTACTTTATTACCGCAGTATAGTAACATGAATTACGCACCCCTTTAGTGGGGTTTCTGAGCACGAGGTGTTGCACAAGCACCGAACAAAACTGAGCCCTGCCCCAAGGAATATATCACAGCTTTATTTTTTCTTTATTTTTTTCTAAGGGCTTGCAACATGTTGAGTTCATAACGGGTCTGTCCTGCCTGGTGGTTTCACGACTCAGTTTCATGTCTTTGATTTCTCTGATCTGATCCTCCGGCTCCTACCTCTAATGCAGAGATCATACATTTGTGCACAGATTGCAAATCTGGAAAACACACATTTACTATTGATGCAAAAACCCAGCTGTGTCCCTTTCTAGATACACGTGTTGTAATCTAGTGTACACATCAGGGAATTTCAGATCTGGGAAGTTAAGGGGATTTTAATTACGGATAAACTTTGTTGTGCTCCTGCTTGTTCCCCTTTGCTGGAGGGTGAAGATCCAGCTCACCTCGCTCAGCTCCGGCTTTGCCTCTCCCTGCTGGGTCAGTCTTCCTGCACCCTCTCAAGTGCAAGCCAAGAGCTACTTCACCTGGAGATGAAGAAGGAAAAGGGAAACGTTTGGAAAGGTGTCTCAAAACATCTAGGAAGAAATCACGGGTAGCCACCACTGCCAGCATAGCTGCAGCTCGAATGTTAAAATACCGGCCGGTGTTTATCTGTGCACTCTGTTCCTGAGAGAATCATAGAATCATAGAACAATTCAGGTTGGAAAAGACCCTTGGGATTATCGAGTCCAACCATTGACCCTACACTACAAGTTCACCCCTAAACCATCTCACCCAACACCACATCTAAGCGACACTTTAACACATCCAGGGATGGCGACTCAACCCCCTCCCTAGAATCCTCCATAGGACCAAGACCACGTGTGCTAAAATTGGTCCTTCCCTGGTGTTACTCACTGATTATTCAGCCTCGGTTGTGGAGTTTTTTACTGTAGGATTTTCAGATCACATCCTCAGTCATCATTTAGCTTTTCACAGCCAACAAGAGGATTTTTGGCTGGTGACTGACGACAGTGTGAGCCCTTGGCCTGGGGAGAGTTGTCTCTGACGAAAGCCTTAGTGGAGACTCCAGAGTAACCCCATCCGTGTGCTCTCTTCTTCTTCATAAACAGCTGCAGTTTGGCCAGCAATGATGTTCAGGCTCACTCAGTATGTCCCAGATCTCATTTTGTTGTGGAAAATGCAGTCTGACACAAAGGATCCAACTGCAGTTTACGGTAAAAATTACTTGAGTCAGCAAGAGCGTAGGTGGGAGCATCATCCCAAGGTGACTCTTCAACATCACAACTTCAACATGACAACTTCACATCAACACTTTGCAGTTTCAGATTACTGAGTCGGTGTCTTTGGGGTTTTGGTTGGTCTCTGTTTTAAGCTTTCCTTAGCAGGAGAGATTTGAAAAAAAACCCAAAACGCACAGTGCACATACACAGGCACACGACTTTGTTTAAAGCAGTCCAAGTGCTCACCCATAGGCGGGGGACTGATGAATGTGATGTGAGTTCCCCGTGCTGTGTGTCTCTGCTTTCGTGGCTTTCCTGGTGCCAGCATGGGGGCATGAGGCTTGTGATAATGACTGGAAGGAAGACACACTTATTCTTGCTTAGTGGGGGGGCTTTTCAATCTCGCAGACAAACGCATAACAAGCTCCAGCGACTGAAAGCTGGACAAATTCAACCTTGAAATAAGACACGGTTTCCTAGCTGCAAGGAAAATGAAAGTTTGGAACAGCTTGCCAGAGGAAATGGTGGAGTTGCTGTTGCTTGGAGTACAGACAAAATTTGCTCTCTCTCTGCAAAAAAAAGGTTTCTTTAATCCAGCACTCTGGAAGAGTTCTGTGATCTGTGTGTGCAGGAGGTCAGCTGAAAGGAGTGTAGCAGTGCTGTCTGGTCTTGGTGGGTGAATTACTGGATGTGATTAAATGACCTTTTTGGTTTAGGTCAGGGAACTTCTATACTAAAAAGATTGGCCGCAGGGCTGTGAAATGAAGTGATATCTTAGAGAAAATAAAAACGAATGTCCGTCTTACTGTCTTTTTGACTGTCGATAATTAAAGTGTTGCTATTTACCAGCAGGTTAAAACCTGCATAAATGGTAATATCAAACTGTTTCAGTAGCAGAAGAGCACTTTGATGCAAAGCGTTTCTCTGGGTTTTTTTAAGGATCTTTCTCTCTACAGCGCTTGTCATTTTGCCAGGTATTCTTCATTAGAGTCCATTTCGTATCGATCCGCCTCTGGAAGGTGATGGGGATGGGAAGTGCCCCCGGCCACTGCAAAATGCAGCGTAAGACACTGCAAGGTTAGGTCCCAGGGGAAATCTGAAGCAATGATCATCGTTACATTTTCGTTCTCTTAGCCCTCCGCAACAAACTATAAAGGCTGTATTCCAATTGCCTGCTTTAAAGATCTTGAACACAGTCCGGAGAGGGAGCAATCCGAACTGCTCCATGAAATATTGATTTCTAACATTCACTAAGTCTGAATACGTGAAAAATTCAGGGGATTTGAGCGCAGCCTTGAAACATCTGTGGTTTTCCAACACTATCACCTATCCAACTGTTTTATTTCAAGGACATTCTCTCAAAATGTTCCTGCAGCTTTAATAGTGGTAGGTGGGATTTTCAGGAGTTATTAGAAGTGGCTGAACTTTGCTGCCGTTGAAGCCAACAGGAAAGACTTCTTGACACTTGGATGGCAGAAGGATTGGGCCAGGCGTGAGTGCTTTTTGAAGTCGAGTTCAGTTGCTTCTGTATTCACAAGGATTAGAGCTTTGCAGCTACATAATCATCATTTACAGCAGATCAGAGTACTCAGCAGTAAAGTTTTGGTCCCTGAAATTTCATGAGGAGGCACAAGGTTCACTTGTTCTGCCCCATCTCTCTCCTGCTTTGGATCCTGTTGAAAATTCACTAGGTGGTCTTAGGTAAGGAGTTTAATCTTTCTTTGCCTCAGGTGCACCGTCTCCAAAATGGGAAAAAAACCACGCTTTTCTAAAATCCATTCAGGTTCTTTTGCAGCTTTTCCTGTGTGTGGGAGCATCTGGCAAAGCTACAGAGAGCTGGTGTTGCCTTGCTCTCAGGGCACTGATGGCAGCTGGTTCTCCAGAGCTCTGCTCCCTCGAAGCGCTGCTGTAGACGGCTGAAGTTTCAAAAGAACTGCGTTAGCTGGAGATCAAGATCTTCTGAATATATGGCTCCAACTGGAGGTGCTGTGTGTGTGAAGATGAAAGGAAATGGAGTTCAGATGAAGGTCTTCTTGTAGAGGCTTGATGGTCTGGGTGGGTGGATGGCACAACTGTGGGGAAAATCAGCCAAGTGGATTCTGCCCCTTTCGCTGGTGTCTTCTCAACTGAAAAGTCCTCCCATCCAGGGGCAGAACACGTGAGCAACCTTACCCACTTCTGTTCTGCGGGGTTTCCCCACGGATGCAGCGCACGTTTCACGCATCCTTGCCTTTTGGTCCACAGTGACCAACAGGAGCTTGGCGGGGAGTGATACATGGAACTGCTGGTGTGGAGGTACCTGTTTCTCCAGGGCTAGATCCTGGCTGCAGTCATGGCCAGGACTCCAGGGCATCCAGTGCCCAGCATGTTGTCAGCTAGAACTCCCTTGGAGAGTCAAAAAAAAGAAAATAAATAGTTCTCTGTGTTCATGAGCACCGTTTTCTGCAGCGTTCCTTTGGAGCCGTGGCTGGAAGTCTCGGCAGGGGCTGGGGTGGGCTGCCCACCCCACGCTCGCTGACAACAGCCTCAGTGCTGAACATCTTGGGAGGCTGCCACTGAATTCAGAGTTGGAGCCAAGACTAGATTTCCTTTCTTTCAGGGAAGAATTACATAAAGGCGGTGGAAAGGTTTCTATGCAGTGTCGTAGGGAAAAATTTCAAATCGGTCAACAGAGCTGTTGGATTTTAAGGCCAAACCCTTTTCTTCCAGCTGTTCCGCAGCCGGAATGCTGCAGCACCAAGGAACTGGAAGGAATCTGGCTTTGATTTTTCAGTGTCCGTCGACATAATAAACATAATAAGTAACGACAAGTTACCTTAGGTGTTCTGATAATCAAAATTCTCATTGAAGTAGTTGGTGTCTTTTTAAAGGAGGTTTCTCTGTTATATTTTGTGAGACTGGTAACGGCACACAAGTCAGTAGCTCTAAGAGCTGGGAGGAGGGTGAAGCAGGTAAGAGGAGCGCTCTGTCGTTGTGCCGGTGCGTTTGTGTTTACAGTTCATTAGCCCGTGTTTAAAAAAACCGTGCTGCCAATTTAAATCACAGCTGGATTCATACACATTTTGAGATTATCACACGCTGAACAAAATCCTTCTCTCGCTTTAGCTTGCAGATTTGCTCGTGCCCTTGGAGATTAAGCCTGGTATTTCCTTAGCAACAGTTTCTGCCGTGTTGCATACTAAAGACAACAAGCATGTGCTGCAGGTACAGTATAATGGGAAAGGGAGAAAAATATCTTTACACCGGCTTTCCTGCCATATGGGACCCCAGCTGTTCTCTGAGGCAACCCCTGCAACAGCTTTTTTTCCCCACCGGAGCAGAGTCCTTCTCAGATGCTTTGTCCTGGTATGTGTGAGTGAGGAATTAACGCTTAGAGGAGAGAGTGGGATGCAAATAAATCTCTCTAACCTCTTTTCCTTTGCCATGTGTCTGGCTAAGATAAAAGGGGAACCGAGATTATTCCTGAAGAGGGGCTACTAATCACACTACTGTCCTCCGTAACAGGAAGAATCGACACCATCCAGCCGCTCATGGACTTAGATCTGAGGGTCACAGGAGAGGGATGGCCTAAACCATTAGATACATGAAAGGCCTGTCTTCCTTGAGTTGCCCCGTTGGCCAAGAAGCAGATAATGCATCCTTGTGCAAAGCACGAGCACTCGCTGTCCCTACCACCTCTTAAAGGAGGCTGGCACTGCCATTCCTGGCGTTAGTGCTCTGCAGAAGGAGGTGATGTCTGGTGGACCTGCTCAGCAGGGGATGCACCGGTCCCCTCTCTCCTTTGGTGCACAAATCACAGAATCACACAGAATCACAGAGTTGCCCAGATGATTGGAAAAGACCTTTAAGACAATCGAATCCAATCATTAACCCAACACTGACAAAACCTTGACTAAACCATACCCTTAAGCACCATGTCTGCCTGACTGTTAAACACCTCCAGGGACGGGGACTCCAGCACTGCCCTTGCCAACCCGTTCCAATGCCTGAGAACCCTTCCGGTAAAGAAATTCCTCCTAATATCCAAGCTGGTGCAACTTGAGGCCATTTCCACTTGTCCTGTCACTTGTTACTTAGTTGAACTGACTGAGCCTCACCTCTCTACAACCTCCTTTAAGGTAGTTGTAGAGAGTGAGAAGGTCACCCCATGAGCATGCAGGGAGCTCAGCGAAGCACGATGCTGCCTCTCCCACTGAGCGGCAGAGCTGGGCTGGGCCCAGTGCACTTGGGAAGAGGCCCCAGTAGGGCAGTGTCTTCAGTGCAGGGATTTTTATCGGTGCGCAGCTGACAGGCTGTCGTACTTTTTCCAAGTCGGTTCCCTAGAAACACAAGGCAACACTGAAAAAAAAATGTTGGAGTTGCAAAGCAGTTGGTGTGAGGCCACTTTTTCCTTTGTGTTGTTCATTTACTCTCTTGTCTGCTCTGATTCCCAATGCCAAATAAACTTCAACTTAGGCTTAAAATGCCAGAGCCCTCATAAATGGTTGGAGGTGAGGCAGCACAGCAGTGTCTGCATTGGCTGAGCCTGGGACCCCCGGGAGTTCCAGAAGGTGTGTGTAGACAAGCCCCAAACCCTCAGTCTATGAAGATGGATCCGTGTGAGTGAGAAGTTTTCCCCCACACCTTCTTCCCAGGGACTGAGTCGCTAGTTCACTGGGAAAGACGAACGCTGACACTTCCCCGACCTAACTGAATTGGCACAGGACCCATTATTTTACACGATAGTGCCTTTGTTTTTGAAGCTCCTGGTTTCCATCTCTATAAAACAGTTAGCTGCTGCCCCACGTGTTCACCCTGCCTCGCCCTCCCTGTCCGGAGAAGGGTCTCAGGCAGGAGTTAAGGCCAATAACTTTCTGAAGCAGCCCAAAATTATACCCAAACCCCTCTCCAGCGATTTTTCATCTCTCATGCCTTCCTGTCTGTATTCAAGTTCCTCCTAAAGACTCTCTTTTCCTGAGGCCAGCGAGAAATAAATTACCCATTTTTCTCATTCTCCGAGTAGCTACTTGCTTTGAATTTGCCCATTTCTTAATCTGGTGAATCTTTTGGAGTGTGGTTTTCAAGGCATTGACTTCTTTTAAGGTGTGATTCCTAGAAAATACTGCAGAGTACTTCAGTGCTGAAATAGCAAGCTTCGTTCTTGGAAGGAGTCAGCCCTTTTAAGATGAGAGAAATTTGAACAGAACCGAACTGACAGAAATTTTAAGGTGACAGAGATTTGAACTAAACCTGCTAATTTAGTTCTGCAAAGGGTGGCTTGTGTGCGAGAGCTGCAGTGGAGCCCAAGGCTGGGTTTCTCCTCTCCCCCTTCAGTGTCGCAACGTTCCCCCTTCAGTCACAGAAAACAAAATCAGTATTCCTCTTCTGTCTCGTGTGCTTGTTATTCCAACTAAATTATAACAAGCTGATGTGATTCACTGCACCTTCTCATCCATCAGCTCCCTCCGAAACCTCCGCAACCTCCCACTGGCAAGAAGAGAAAGCGAATGAGCGATGACGTGCCCGAGTGCAAACCTTTGAAGCCGTTGCTGAGCGGCTCCATTCCCGTGGACCAGTTTGTGCAGACGCTCGAGAAGGTAAGTACGTCCTTGGTGGCCGCTGGAGGTTCTCAGGAACGCGCTGCTTTGCTAGCAGGGAGAGAGAAAATCATTTCGGTGTGGCTTGAAGTGGAGAGCGGCTGATGAGCTACCCAAGGATTTCAGGGAACATGTGTCCCTGCGGTGGAGGGAGTAGTTCCCCGTGGAGTCATGTCCTGATAGAGGGGCTTCACGTCAGTCATTTCTTCGTGGCAGCTGAGCTTTTGGGGTGGGTGAATTTCCCCCGTGTGACTTTCAGATCCACCACCTGATTTCTGACAGAATTGAGCAATAGGGAGGAGGTCTCGAAAGTATTTTAAGTTCCTACAAGTTTGGTGAAAATGATGTGGCTGAGCGAAGAAGAGATCTTGGAAATATCTCCATGGGTGGAGAAGCTCTCTGAGGAGCTGCAGGACACAGGGATTGGTGGCTGAACTTGCAGACACGTGGCTCCTGCTCTGTGGAGCCTGTTTTTCCCAGTCGTGGTAACCTCTCTCTCTTTTACTCCCTGCCCTACACTACATCTAGCACGGTTTCAGTGACGTGAAGGTGGAGGACACAGCCAAGGGCCACATCGTGCTCCTCCAGGAGGCAGAAACCCTCATCCAGATCGAGGAGGACTCCACACACATCATCTGCGACAACGATGAGCCTTTGAGGGTGAAGCTGCGTGACCTGGTGCTCAAATTCCTGCAGAAGTTTTAGCTCATGGACGTCGTGCTGCTCTGCCACCAGAGCTAAAAACTTTCTAGAGGATAAGCCCAGGAAGAGAGAGAATTTCTTGATTCAAAGAGACCAGAAACCATCTTCCCATTCATGGAGAAGCAAGGAAGTATTTTTAATATCTTATCAATTTTTTAAATTTTATTTTTGACCAGCTTTGGAATACTTTGGAGGGGATTCCTGTTCTGTAAAATTGGGAATTGGAATCTTAGAGGAGATACGAACTGCGGAGTAAATAAACAGAGTGTGTATTTAGAAGGTCAGGGTGAAATTGTGTGCACACACAGACAGTTCTCTGTGTGAACCCTCTCAGCAATGTGTGGCCCAGTCCTCCCCCTGAGAAAATGCTGTAGGAATATTGAAATGATGGCCTTAGATTTTAAGAGGTTTATTTTTCTCCCCACTGCTTCTTCTCGGTCACCAATTCTTGTCTGTCCTCCATCTACGCCTACGTTGTGCATGTGGAGGGCACGAAGAGGAATGAGAAATCTGGTAAGGCAAAGATTATAGAAATAAAAATAGAAAAGGGCCCTGTGTCAAATAGCTTCAAAGTGGCAAAAACAGAGGGATTTTTGGAAAAGCTTTTTGGTTTAAGGTGTTTATTGCTGCTTCACCCTCATTTGTGTTGACCAGACTTGTCCACCTGGCTGTAGGTGCGTCACTGAGACACACAGAAGACCAGTTTCTCCATCATCCGTGGAGGAAGTATCTCAGGAAGATACTTGTAAAGGTACATAAAGTAGATAAACTCCTAGTGCTCATGAAAAACCTTTGAGATTTAAGTGCCTCTTGTTTCTACATTCCAAAAACCTGTCCTTTCAGCCAGCACGGTCCCAAATCCCGGGTGAAATGCTGAGTTGTTTATACGAAGCCACCTGTACGGCAGACCTGGGGAGGTTTTTTCACTCCGAAAATCATATATTTGGGGCCTAAACTCAGTTAATAGTATTTCTTTTAAAAGCAACCTGTTTCTCAGATTTACCGCTGTTTGGTTTTTATTGGATTGTTTTGTATTTATTTGGTGTTAAAAATAAAAAAAAGCGTAGTAAGACTGCCAAGGAGGAAGCACATTCTGTGGTTTATAAAAGCATCTGCATCCCTGTCGTGCGTCTGCCTGCGCGTGCACGTACACATTTGTGAAATAGAGCTGCTCCTCCCGTTTAGCGCTTTGAGGGGGTGAAGGCGGGGCAAGAGCAGCTCTGTAACAAAACCTAGTTGCTGTTGCAGTTCCCACGTCGCATTTTGTACACGTTAAGGCTTCCTGTTCAATGGGATGTACGGACTCCAGCATCCGTACCTTTGCTTGGTGTGTGAGAGGAATGGCAGCATGAACATGGTAAAAAGCTCGTTGCAGTAGCATTAAACCTCATGAGGGTTTATAGCATCTGCAGTAGCTCGGCATCGCTCAAAAACAGACTAAAAGAATCGGACGTATTTCACCCTGCAGTTAAAGCTCCAGGAAGATTGTTCGTCACATGCAGAGGCCATGGGATAAACTCAGCCGAGCCGAGGGGGAGAGCCTTGTAACATGTGTGGCCTTGAGAGCATCTTCCTGTTGTCACCGAGATCAGCTCCAGCGCTGGTCCTGCTGCTCCGGAGTCCTCAGGTTCTGAATATGCTCGTTTGCATTTGGAATTAGGAGAGACCTCACTTGTCGCTTGAAGAAGCCGGACCCGAAGCTGTCCCTTAGTGCTTGTTCCCTCCTCCTCAACCGAGCAGGGGCAGGTGGGGCGGTAGTTTCACACTTTCCGCGTGGGTGTGGTTGGGCAGAGCTGTGACACCCCCTCCCGCAGTAAACGGGCTCTGAGCGCTCGGTTCCCGTGACCCAAGGAAGGATTAAAGCCCAGCTACAGAGCCAAGAAGACCTCGGCTGGGGCAGAGCCTTGTCATGGCTCCCAGTAGTTGGGATCGCAGAATCATAGAGTGTCTTAGGTTGGAAGGGACCTTGGAGATCATCTAATCCAACCCCTGCTGTGGGCAGGGACACCTGCTCAAGGCTTCATCCAGCCTTGAATATCTCCAGGGGATGACTCCTTTGTGCCAGAACCCAAGAGCTGAACTACCTGGGCGCTGAGACACGCGGGAACTTTTCTAGGACATTGATGTAATTACACAACACGGAGCCCTGCAGGAACAGGGCTGCAGATTCGCTGACCTAAAAGATTTAATCGAGCTCTGTGTTCCTCTGACTCTGCAGGTGTGTGAGCGTGTGTCGTGGTTTAGAAGACAGGGGAAAGCTTCCCTTG